TCCCCGTAGGTGGGGGGGGGTGATTTCTCGCTTTCTATCTCTCTCTCTCTGTGTCTTTCTGGCGAGCGCACGCGCCTAATAAGAAAAAAACTCTCCAAAAAATAAAAAAATAAAAAATAAAAACAAATACTCATTGGCCAAAACAGAACTAATTAATTTCATGAGTAAACAACATGTTACCAAGCATTCAGAGGGAAACAAAAGGTGTAATATCAATCTAAGAAGAAATAGAGAACACAAGTAAGTTTAACATGTTATCACATGAGAACACACAGTACTTTCTGGTTAGTCAGAGAATCCTTCCTGGAAGAGGCAAACTAAGACTGGTTTTGGAATACAGAGATTCTTTCTTAGACTTTTCATGTAAAAAGAGCAGTATTCTGTCTCAAAAGATGGTATTTAATGCCTACGAGAGTCATTGCTTTTTCTTGTTCTTGTTTTTTAAGGTTTTTGCCATGGGCCGCATGTGCTCATTGGAGAGAGACAAAGAGAGGGAAAGTGAGAAATCACCCTCCTCCTTGAGGGGATGGTTATACCATAATTCCTTCTTTGTTTAATTCCTGGGATTTTAGGCACTCACGCATATGCACTTGTCATGATTTGCAAGCCACCAGATCTGGTACAACTGTGTTGGAATCTAGCACCTTAACCGCCACACCATCTACTGGCCCCACTAGATTCACCTTATCTCTGTCTCATCTGAACCTAACTGCATGGGAATATATTTTATATTGGATCGTTGGGAAAGACATGATGCATTTTTGCATAGAAAAATATGTCATAACTTTCCCAAGGACCTAGCAGCATGTCCTGTTGATGTCTTGCCTGGAGCTTAACTTCTTGCCTATTACATAGAAAAATTCAAATTGTTCCATGTAATGTGTTCTATGTTCTTATATTTAAATATTATTGGGATCATATTTTTCTCATCACAATTCCATTGAATTTGACAGATGAAAAACTTTGATCATGGTTTTTATTTACAATTCAAGTCAAAGGGAAAACCTGATTTAATTAATAGAGATGTCCATTCAGACTTCTTTCATTTTTTCCCTGATAAATTTCAGCTGATTTGATAAGCATAACATTACTTGAAATATAAACTGATAAATGGGCACTTCTATATAATTTTTTTTTATTTGCCAGAGTTCTTGCACTTGCTGTACAGAGACAGAGAAGAAAAATAGGAAAGCAACTCCCAGGGGAGATCATGAAACAACAAGCCCTTCTCGGCCATTCTTCTCTCAGGATTTGGGCAGGCACACACACACTCAGCGTGTTTTCCAAGGTATCTCATCCTGGATGCAAACTGTGGAATCACATGGAATTTACCCACATTAGCCAAAGTCACTGACTGGTCCACAACATAATTGTGAAAGGAAGGGTTGATAATAATATCATTTGATATTATAAACTTTTCAAAATACTTTCTCAAACCCCTCTGTTGTGAATTCAAATTTCAAAACATCCTGGAGGTGAGGTAAATTTGAATATTGTTAATCTTGTTTAATAGAAAAAGAAAAATGGGGCCAGTTGGTGGTATAGTGGTTAATGCAGCTTGATCCCATGTGGCCAACTGTGCGGTTCAAATCCTGGACACACTGGGCACATGCATGCATGACCAAAATCCTTAACAGAGAAAGGATTACAATATGAACATTCCTCGTAGGGAGTGATTCCTCTCTCTCTCTCTCTCTCTCTCTTTTTCTCTGTTTCTCTCTGGCAAGTACATGTACCATCTTACAAATTAAAAAGAGAAAAGGTAAAATGTTAGAAAGAAGACAACCAGCCCAACCTCACACCAAATCCCTAGTGCAACCAAATACTGAGTCATCAGAAAAGTCATGACACGTTTTGCATAGAAAAACAGAAAAAATACATTATGGTTTTTCCAATGACCCAATACTATACTTTTTCCTCAACACTATTTCTGCTATTACCAAGATGTTAATGCAGAGAAATAGTAACAGTGGCAGCAACTGTATTAAAAATGAGAGTAGCTATCGTGTGCTCCAGGCTGACTGGATGCCAAGCACAGGATGAGCATAACACATAGGCACTATCATATTGAATAATCACTTAGAAGAACATCATGAGTAGAGGTCATCTCATGCGATAATTAGGGCAAGAAGGCACAGAGAGTAGGATATAGGTCACACAGCCAGTGTAAGGCAGAAGTGCAATTCAACCTCATGTCTGATGACTTGACAATCTTACACTTGTTCTCTTACAGACAGCTGGTGGCTCTTAGTTTTCAAGTCCTCAAGTCTTTCCCAGAAAACACATTCACAACGAGGCCTACCCTGAACATTCGATTTAAAACTGCAGACCCCAAACCGTCCTCCTACAATGAGATTTAAAAGCTTATTATTACTATTAGTTTTAGGTTTTTTGCCACAGGGTGCATGCACTCACCAGACAGAGACAGAGAGGGGAAAAGGGAGAAATCAACCCCCAGGGAGGATGGTCACACCACAATCCTTTCTCCTCCATTCTCCTCTCAGGATTTCAGGCACACACTCACATTAGCCTGGCATGATTTTTAAGCTATTAAGTCTGAGACTTGAACCACGATTAGAAATCCAAGAAACCAGCACCTTAACCACCACATCATCTACTGCCCCTTACAAGGCTTATTTTTAATGTTGATTATTAATATAACTTCCAGTGGGACAAGGTTCTTGGGAGGTTTTTTTCACCAACGTATCCCAAATACTAAGTCCTATTCAATAGAATTTTCTTTATGATGGAAATATTTTCTATCTGCATTATCCAATATGGTATCCACTAGCCCCAATTAATGCAGAGAAATAGTAACAGTGGCAGCAACTGTATTAAAAATGAGAGTAGCTATCGTGTGCTCCAGGCTGACTGGATGCCAAGCACAGGATGAGCATAACACATAGGCACTATCATATTGAATAATCACTTAGAAGAACATCATGAGTAGAGGTCATCTCATGCGATAATTAGGGCAAGAAGGCACAGAGAGTAGGATATAGGTCACACAGCCAGTGTAAGGCAGAAGTGCAATTCAACCTCATGTCTGATGACTTGACAATCTTACACTTGTTCTCTTACAGACAGCTGGTGGCTCTTAGTTTTCAAGTCCTCAAGTCTTTCCCAGAAAACACATTCACAACGAGGCCTACCCTGAACATTCGATTTAAAACTGCAGACCCCAAACCGTCCTCCTACAATGAGATTTAAAAGCTTATTATTACTATTAGTTTTAGGTTTTTTGCCACAGGGTGCATGCACTCACCAGACAGAGACAGAGAGGGGAAAAGGGAGAAATCAACCCCCAGGGAGGATGGTCACACCACAATCCTTTCTCCTCCATTCTCCTCTCAGGATTTCAGGCACACACTCACATTAGCCTGGCATGATTTTTAAGCTATTAAGTCTGAGACTTGAACCACGATTAGAAATCCAAGAAACCAGCACCTTAACCACCACATCATCTACTGCCCCTTACAAGGCTTATTTTTAATGTTGATTATTAATATAACTTCCAGTGGGACAAGGTTCTTGGGAGGTTTTTTTCACCAACGTATCCCAAATACTAAGTCCTATTCAATAGAATTTTCTTTATGATGGAAATATTTTCTATCTGCATTATCCAATATGGTATCCACTAGCCACAAAAACAAAATTGGAAAGTGGCTAGTGTAACTAAATAACTGAGTTTATTTTATTTTCATCATTGAAATGGACACATGTTAACTATATGACCAGTACAGACCTGGAACAATGCCTGGCACTCTAATCCACTAATGTACATTGTTAAGTGAATGAGTTTCCAAATACGATGAATTTTTCCATACAGCTCACAGACTACTTTTACTAAGAGAAGATTAAATGTTGTCTTTTTCATAAAATTCATAGAGTTAGGTGCTGAAAATATTCATCTAAAATTTTGAAATACAGAAGATATGCTCAAAACAGCAAGCACAGATTTCACAATGGTCTCCCTTTGGCCCTCTATGACTCAAGATCCTGCAAAACATTTTCTGAACACAGAGAGAAAGCAAATGCAGCAGCACGTAATGAATTCCCATGAACGACCCAAACAGACAGACAACAAAATATATACATAATTACAACTATTACTGTAATTACTCAGTACCTTTTTGACCTTGTTTTTTTTCTCATAGGTCTCTGACAGAGGTTTTTTCTTCTGCTGAGTTGTGTCTTTGGAGAACAAATACTCAAATTCACTAGTGTCTCGAATATCAGGTTCTTCTAAGGAATCCCATAAGGTTGGTGTAGCATTTTGGCTTAAAAGAGAAAAATGACAAGTAAACTTAAGAACTAATACAGAAAAGAATACAACACAATCAAATCTTTAATTCATGTTTTACATATTTTTAAAAACATGTAAAACTCTCATTAAACATGGGGAAAAGCTTTTTATTTTGTAGTTTTAAGAAGCCAGAACATGGGGATGAGCAGATGGAGCAATGGTTACATCACTGGACCCCCACATAGTCTACCCCAAGTCCAGTCCCAGACCCTGTGACTTGGAACTCGCATGTATGCGTGCCCAAAATCATAAGAGGACAATGGAAGAGAAGGGACTGTGGCATGGCCATCCCTTCTGTGGGGTGATTTCTTGCATTCTGTCTCTGTGTCTCTCAGGTGAGCGCATACACCCTATAGCAAAAATCTCTCTTAAAAAGAAAGTCAGAATATACTATACTCAACTATACATTTCCCAAAAAAGGTTGGTCTCTAGAGAAATCTGTAGAGAAAACTCATGGGAACAGAAATCTTGGGAATCAGATTGTTGGAACCACCCAAGCTGTTCCTCTGTGACATTTCCATAATGGATAAAAATAAGCATCATATGAAAGCTAAAAAGATAAGCAATTTTGAGGCAATGGCAGGGTAGTTCTTAAGCAGACTGTAAATGGAGTACTAACATAAAGATCTGCTCCCTCTTCAGACTTCTACTGGTTTTAAATATGGTTTTCAGGAATGATTCAGGTAAATTCAGTGTATAGAGCCCTTAACATGTGAACAGGCTGTGCCCATGTCAAAATACGTAGTTTATAATATTGCACCTCCAAACAATGACGACAAAAACAAATCAAAAACTCCTCCACTGCAGTCCCACAGGGATTCCAATTAAAGCAGCCCTAAGGAGACTGCTCTGTTTGTCTTCTAGAAACGGAGGCACCCTAGTTTGATGCACAGAATGAAAAGCTGTTAAAAATCAGGGACAGGGACCATCAGATGGCAAAATGGTTATATCGCTGGACTCCTATGTAGTCAACTGCAGTTCAAGTCCTGGACCCAGTAACTTTAAAAACTCATGCTGGGTGTGTGTACACGTATGCCCAAGATCCTGACAAGAGACTAGAGGAGAAGGGATTGCAGCATGGCTATCCTCCCAGGGGAAGGGAAGGGTGGTTTCTTGCTTTCTGTCTCTCCGTTTCTTTCTGTCTCTCTGGCGAGTGCACGTGCCCTATAGCAAAAATCTCTCTTAAAAAAAAAAAAAATCAGGGACATCAGAGCAGAGTCTGAGAGCTGACAGATGGGTCAAGTTACATCTCCCAAATGTCTACTTTCTTAACTCACTTTAATTTTAAAAACTAAAAGAAAAAGTTTCATCTACATATCTATTTTTCAAACGTATATATGCATTATAATCAAAATCTAAAAATATTTACCTTGACTAAAAAGACAACTATTACTATCTGTGGTGGTCCACAAAATTTTTTGACATTACAAGGTGATTTTCACATTTAAAACCTCTGGTAACACTAATTTTCAGACTTGTGGGTTCCCATTTTGCTATAGATATGCCATCCCAATGAAATACAGTACGTTGGTTCCGGCCACATTTATTTCCTTTCCCTTTATTTTGTATGTTTAATTACTTTTTGAATGTAATATTGAAATCATGCGTGTGTTATGAAGTATAACAAACGATGTAACAAACGCCTGGGAAATCCAAGAACTAAACATATCCAGTGAAGTGTATCCATCTCTGTGTTCCTCCTCAGCACATCCTCTGCCATTCACTCAACTTCACTTTGAAACATTGACATCATTAATGTTTTGCACTAAGGAAGGGGGCTCTTGGTTGGGGAAGAGGAACAAGGCATTTTGGAGCATGTGATACGTTAGGGAACACTGGTCTGGGTCTTGGGAAGTTTCAGAGCAGTTAAGGAGGATGTGCCTAGAGGGAGGTGATCCAATGCATCAGAAAGATTCTGAAGACCCCCGCCCTCCTCCAACCCGTGCACCTGGACTGCTTGGTTTTAGCTCTAGGGAGTTGGAGATCAGGCCAGCATGTTATCGTTCATTCATATTCCAGAATAAATTGACTTTGAGAGTCAAGTTGTGCACCTCATCACCATTTACAACACCATCTCTATGGGAAAGGCAATTCCAAAACTGAATAAAAGAATTCTGGATACCACCTCTTGGTGAGTTGAGAAAGCTACTACTTGGTAGAGCAAATAGCAAAGGTCTGCTCACAATGGATGGCCTGCCATAGTGGTCAAATGTATTCCCACAGAACATACAATCTTAGCTGAAAATGAAGGAAGAGGAAAATGGGGACGAAGTGAAGGAGAAACTTATTAGGAAGTTGAAAATTAAGTTACAAAAGTATTTCTTTTTCTTGTACTAAATGTCCCTTTCCTATTCTAGAAATTAGGAAATAGACAATGAAGGCAAAAATGGCAAAAGAAAGAAAATAGCTTACATCAGAGGTAAAAAAGCAATCAAGGTCGATGAGGAAAATTCACATTTCATTCCAAGTTCCCCAGTAAACCAAGACTAAAATTCGTCTCATATGTATTATATAATGTGCTTACCACTTTGGTTGAGTAAAATATTAAAATACCATTTTGTCTTCTAAAGAACACAACCCAAATAATTTTACTTTTGTTCATAAATGAATACTACTCTTTAGACCACTGTCATCTTAAAAGAAGTTGTCATGCTCAGAGGCACAAGATATTTTGAGGGGCCCTAATAAAAGACACTAAACTTGTGATTCCAGCAGTAGTGGCCATGTTGGAGACTTAGCACATCACAGAAGGGCAGAACCGACATCCCTGGGTTGGATTCAAGGTGGACACTGTCCAGTTAGACGCTCCAGATGTCCCCCTTCATCTACTTCTCATTGTGCTTAAAAGTGAAGCCCTGAGTCTATGGGAAAACTAATGAGATTTTGGCACCAGCAGATGGTACAATGGTTATATCACTGGACTCCTATGTAGTCGACAGTGGTTCCAGTCTCAACCCAGCAGCTTGAAACAGGCTGAGCGCTTGTGAGTGTGCACCCAAAATCCTGAGAGAACAGAGAAGAGATTGCAGCATGGCCATCCTCCCAGGGGGTGATTTCTTACTTTCTGTCTCTCTGGCAAGCACACACACCCTATAGCAAAAATCTTTTTCTCTGGAAAAAAAATGAGATTTAAGTAATCGCTTTTTTTCCCTTCTCAACATGGCCAACTACATAAGGAAGAAAAAATACAGACAATGAGTATCTCTAGCTTGCCTTTATCCCACCTGGAATAGTAGGCAAAGGGCCCACCTGTCCCAGTGGTACAGTCGTATGGCTGCTATGGTCTACAGTGACTGTTGCTCATGAAGCCTTTTGGGGAATTAAGTGAACGCAGGCTAGTGAGACAGACCCAGGTGTGAAACAGCTCCATGTGCTGTCAGAGAAGGCTGTGCCAGGACTGACAGGTGGGATTCATCACCCTGGCAAGACTGCATGCTAATTTGAGAATACTAATATCGAAACATAATTCAAAATAAATATCCTGGGAAGTTACTTCTTCGCAAACAGCTGAGTCTTAAAAGGAAAATACCAGTACTTTTATTAGTGGTAGGAGTATGTCAGGATATTGTACTTTTTTTTAATCACTCATTTGGGAAATTACGAAGCATCGCCATTTTGAAAAATATCAGAATAGTTCATAAATAAGCTCTTGGTCTTTATTTTTTTGTTGAGAGGAAAGGGGGCAATATGAGGTACCTAATCAACCAAGTTCACCATGTGCTTAGTTTTAAGGTAATCCCCATTCTTGATATAGTGATTCAGAGTGTTTTATAGTTGTAAATTGCATGTATTTTGTTCAGTATCCTGTCTTTCCCAAGAAAAAAAATGTTATGTAAATTGACAAATTCACTGCCTATATTTTGATTTGGCAAATGAGTTTTTAAAATGTGTTCTATATTTACCATTTTTTTGCAAACAAATAAAGCTTGGAAACTTGAAGGGTGTTAACAAACAACTCAGTATCTCTTTCACTATTCTCCTAATAGGCTCAAAAATGAAGCTGAAGATAACAGACTCAAATCTATTTAAAGGAAAGTTTCCAAGCAACCATATCTTATTTCCCTTACAGACCTAGATTAACAAACTATACTAATGGGAGGTGCTTTTTAGCTCTCCACATAGTGATACTTTCTCAAAGGGCAACACTGAGGGCATGTAGCAATTAGAGGAACCTGAATTCCAGTAGAGAGAGATTATATTTTAAGATTCCTTTCTGATCTGAAAAACTAGTAACTTAGCCATGTCCCATTCTTTTAATAAAAACGAAAAACTGGAACCAGCAGTTAGAGTAATGGCTATGTCGCTGGACTCCCATGTAGTCGACCGTGGTGGTTTGAGTCCCGGACTCAGTGGCTTAAAACTCACACCGGGCGCGTGTGTGTGTGCCCAAGATCCCAAGAGGAGAATGGAGGAGAAGGGATTGCGGCGTGGCCATCCCCCCGGGGGATGATTTCTCGCTTTCTTTCTCTCTGTCTCTCCCTGTCTGGCAAGTGCACATGCCCTATAGCAAAAACTTCTCAAAAAAAAAAAAAGTATCTATTAAATATCCAGATCACTGGGTTAGAGATACCATCTAAAAACAAGACAGTGAATCACAAAGATATTCTAAAAATCCTCATAGAACCCATAGTATAGATTCAGGCTCAATTTCTTTATGACTGGTCATTAATTATAATGATGTTGGAGAAGGCCCTAGCTTAGATCTAGACCCTTCTGTAGTCTGCATAATGGAAAACTTACCTTAGAGAAAAACTTGATAGTGATACATTGTTTCTCCCAGCATCCACCCATACAAAATTTAGAGTAACTCTGGTGGAGAGGCATTCTCCCCAAACGCAGAGACTTTGTTTACCCAAGGTATTCACTATATCACACTTGAAATGAGTGTTATACTGCACAAATATTGAACCGATAAGAATAAAGCCTCATTTGATGTTATAGTTTGAATATATCCCCCCAAAAATTCATGTATTGAGCCAGTATATCAGGATTAAGAGGATGAAAATATAGTCTGATTATGATGTTTAAAGGTGAGAATGAGATCATCTTCTTTCTTTCTTTTTTTTGGTTGAGAGATTTTTGCTATAGGGTGCGTGCACACGCTAGAGAGACAGAAAGCGAGAAATCTCTCCCCACACCCCAGAGGGGATGGCCATGCGGCAATCCCTTCTCCTCCATTCTTCTCTCAGGATTTTGGGCACACCCACACACACACACACACACACACACACACACACACACACGTCCAGCTTGAGTTTTAAACGGCCAGATTCAGGACTTGAACTGCAGTCAACTACATGGGAGTCCAGCAATGTAACTGTTATGCCATCTGCTGGTCCCAAAGGTGGGATCTTCTTCAGGAAGAGATTAGTGATCAGGTGATTTGGGTAGGACCCCATGACAGAGTACCGGTGGGTTTATTAGGAAGGAGACAGACTCATGAAAAACAGAGCATAATTCCTCTGTACACACTCACCATACTGTCTGCTATGTTGTGACAAGGACTGGCCTGATGCAAGTCCTGTACTGTTGGACTTTTCAGTCACCAGAATCATGAGTCAAATAAAACTTGATACTTTATAAATCACTCAGTCTCTGGTATCTCTATTAGCAATGCAACAGCAGACTAATGCACTTGGGCAAAATCCTGATGATTCATAAGCTAAGAATGTGCTAGAGGATAGCTTACCTTTTATCACTTATTTGTATTCTAGTCCAGTACAAAGGCTTCATGGGACACGTAGGTTCAATAGCTGGTTTTCGAGGACACTGGTTAGAAGAAGAACTTAGTCCAAAGAAGAGTCCAGGAGGAGGTGGGGGTGCAAGACCTGGAGGTGTTGGAGCAGGAGGAGGTCCCCCTGTGTGGGGCGCAGTGGGGGTGTTAGGAAGCGGCGGTGGAGGAGGAGGTGGGGGTGGTCCAGCACTTGCAGGTAGAGGGGGTGGTGGAGGAGGTGGAGGAGGGGGTGGTGGCGGTGGTGGCCCAGCACTCACAGGTTGCATTGGAAGTCCAAGTTCGGGTGGGAGTGGAGGAGGAGGAGGAGGTAGAGGAATAGAGGATGGTAACGGTGGTGCAGGAGGGGGAGGTGGTGCCTTTTGTTGATTTGATAAGATGCCTTCCACAGATGAAAGTGATGTGTGGATGTCTTTGTTGTCATTCGGGGGAGAAAGCTGGCTTAAAGAGGAGATGTTCAATTTCTTGGGTACTATGTGGTTACTTCTAGTTGTCTTGTTTTCATTTTCACAGGGTTTGAGGAAGGTTTCTCTGTCTGTTTGAATGTATACATTTCTGTACGTCTTAGGAGGGCAGCCATCATCAGTAGAGATGCACGCATCCCTCATCTCTTCACATCCTCCTCGCCATCGGTGCTCTAATTCGTGTTTGAGATTGTCAATGGTTTCTTCTAGTCTCGCTGTTATCACTGCATGCTCTCCCCGGATATGAAATGCCTGAAGTTCAAACTGGGCCTGGAAGAAAATTAAAAATCAGTAAGAGTTTATTAAAAAACAAACATAAATTTAAAATGCAATACTATTATCACCGTATCACCATAGTATAGCCCACATACATGCATGGAAATAACAGACATTCTTTCAAGAATCCAGAAGGGTGTAAATTTCATTTTATGAATTTTCCAGGGACATGGGAATGAAGACTTTCTACTAATAATTCAGCCTCCAACAAAAGAGCTAGCGGCAGAAGAAGCCACGGGCCTTCAGGATAAGGTTCCACATGGCTTTATCACTGCATGCTCTCCCCGGATATGAAATGCCTGAAGTTCAAACTGGGCCTGGAAGAAAATTAAAAATCAGTAAGAGTTTATTAAAAAACAAACATAAATTTAAAATGCAATACTATTATCACCGTATCACCATAGTATAGCCCACATACATGCATGGAAATAACAGACATTCTTTCAAGAATCCAGAAGGGTGTAAATTTCATTTTATGAATTTTCCAGGGACCTGAACAGTCCAGTCCAAGCGTAATTTCATCCAATCTGAGCTCATGGGAGATAATTAACAAGGATTAAGGCCTAAAGTAAATCAGTTACCTAAGCACTTTCACCCGGTTTTAATATCAAATGCAAAACAAAACTTTTAATAAGGATTTGGACATGCTTGAATATATCTTTTATAACTTTTGGTTTTGGTTTAAAAAAGAAAACTATAAGGAAAAAAATGGGTTTAGAGATCTTTAGGTTCAGACCCGCTATTCTCACGGTCTCCTTTAGAATGTCTCTTTTATCAGGTTTCCAGGACATTATAGTAGTAATAAAAGGCACAGACAGGAGCGATACGTATATTTTTTAAATTTCCTTATCAAAGCTTCACAAGATTAGGCTATCCCCATAGCCTAGGATTAAGGGAACCAGATCACACATGACCAATTGGAGTTCAGATCCCAGCTTTGGCAGCTTGAAAAACACACCAGATGCATGTATATGCATGCCCCAAATCCCAACAGGATAGAGAAATGGAGAAGGGACTCCAGTGTTACCACACCCCTTCAAATGATGCTTTCTCCTTCTCCCTCTTTCCTTTCTCTGTCTCTCCATCTCCCTCTGACAAGCACACATACCCTCTGACAATTAAAAAATAAAAGCTGCACAAGATCAGTATTTGTGTTCATTTCGAAATACCCTAACAAATAAACAATACAAATGCATAGATAGCAAAGAAATTAAAATATGCCATTTACTTGTAGTCTTCTGGATATTTCCTCAGTTGTGGTAAAGTATTGAGTCTATGATTTTTTTCTTTTTACTTTTTTTTCTTTTTTGGAGAGGTTTTTGTTATAGGACACTTGTACTAGCCAGAAAGATAGAGACAGAGAGACAGAAAATGAGAAATCATCCCCAGGGGGGATGGCCACGCCGCAATCCCTTCTCCTCCATTCTCCTCTCAGGATCTTGGGCACACACGCACATGTGCCCGGTGTGAGTTTAAGCCACCAGGTCCAGGACTTGAACCATGGTCGACTACATGGGAGTCCAGTGACATAGCCATTATGCCAACTGTTGGTCCTGAGTCTATGATTTTATACTTACTAGTACAGAGGTGATATATTTTCAGTTATATTAACTAGTTCATTTCCCAGCACCCAAAGCCATTTAGTTTATTACAGTTAAGAAAACAATCAAATTTAGAATTTTATTAGAGTTTTCCAGGCCAACTTTATAGTAATTAAATATTTTTTGTTGAGCTTATTTAATTTCTGCAGATGGCTTTGATTTAATATATTTATATTTTAGAATAGTAGAAAAACACAAACTGGCTGGTTATTTAACCTCTCTGTATCTCAGTTTTCAGGTAAGTAAAATGGAAATAATACTTGAACATACTTTACAGAGCTATTATGGGAAGTAATGACTTAATATATGTAAAACAGCATATAGAGAAACAACTGGAACACAATAAGTATACTATGAAAATTTGCTAACATTATTATTGTCTCTCATGCTCAACAGATAAAAAGCCTGGCTTTATACTCTCCGCATCCTTCTATTACAATACGACACCATTCCATGCAAAAATGATGATACCAAAATGCTTCATCTCTCTCTAGCTGTTACTCTCCCAACTATCTCATTTCCTTCACAGCAGAGTTTTTTGTGGGGGGGAAAAAAGATCACTCAAACCTTATCTTCTCTGTTTTCTTTTCCATTCAGTTTTCAACAATTACAGTTGGCTTCTGGCCCCTACCGTCCCACTAGCAACTCCACGATTTGATTGTTAAATTCAGTCGGCACTTTTCAGTGATTTCGCCTCTTAGTCACGTGGTTAGAGGTGACTCTTGTGCATATCTTGACATTCTCTCTACTTCACCCAGCTTCAAATCCACCTCCCACTTCTCCCACTCTGTCCTCCACCGCCCCCCCCAACACCACCCCTCTTTCTAGGAAATTTGAAGGCTCTTCTTTCTCCATTCATGCCTTAAATGTTGATCCCAAGACCACTTCCTTGCTTTTTTCTTCCTTCCCTAACCACGCAATCTCTCTAGGAGACTTCATGTTCTCTTGCAGCAAATAAATGCTCATTCGCCATATGCTGGTGACTTCTAAATTGGTACCTTAAAACCATAATTTAACTATTTTTGAATTAATCTACCCACACATTTAGCCAGCTATCAAAGACTTAACACGTCTGAAACTGAATTCATTGTTGCCAAATCCCACTTACCAACTCATTCATTCTCTACCAGTGGTATCAATGATTTCAAATTGTTTCAGGCTCTATTTAAATAAAGCATCTCAAGTCTATACATACCACGAAATGAGCCTTTAGGAAAGCTAGTTTTTGGGCCAAATAATGGTGCAATACAACACATCATTTGAAAAGAGACAGATGTAGTCTGACACCTTTCTAGTATTTTCCAAAACTTGTGTCCTTCCTTTATTCCTAACTTGTTTGCTTCTATTGTTTCATTTTTAATCATCTCTTCTTCCCACCTGCAACTATCTGTTAATCTGTACCCATTCCTGTAAGCAAGGTTCAAACTCACTCTTTGAGAGGGTGATCCTAATTAAACTATTGTTTCAATCTCTTTTCTTTCAGTAGCACTTTTTTCTTTTTTATTTTTTCTTGAATGGTCTCAAGTCCTACTCTCGGTTAGAATCACTTGGAGAGCTTTGTCAAAGATGCTGGTGTTCAATCCCATCCCCAGAGATCTTCATTTAATTAGTCTGAGATGGATACCCATATGGATACCCTTGCACTGGTATCCATAAAGCTCACCAACAGTTTCCAAAAGGAGCCATAGTTGGGACCATCAGCAATGATCTTAATCTTTATTCTGCTCTAATGCAGTTGAAATATTATGCTATCACAGTATCAGTTGGATCTTTTGGCAATGACTTCTTCTTGGGGCATTTTAAAATTTCCAAGGAGAAAGCTTCTTCCTTCCTAATTCTGATATGACTCAATGAGGAAAATATTCCTTTATTGCCCATATTGAAAAGAGTTATTTATTCTACACAGCAGACAAACCCAAATTACTTCCATGACCCTTATGGCTCTTTAATACTTGGATACTGCCTACATTCCTAGACATTTCCTTCTGCTTTCTCTGCATTGCACCATTATAGATTCGACTTGTGACCAACCCCACAACTCCATGCATTTGCACACACTGTTTCTTCTGCTTAGAACATGTTTTCTCTTTACACCTGGTGAAATCCCTAACAAAATATTTTATCAAGTTCAACTGAACCTTTTGGCTTAAACTTTTTATAATTCTTCTTGACAAAACTCTTTGTCTTTCTCATCAAAGAACTTTCTAGATTCATGTTGCATTACAGTCATTGGTGTTTGTCTTCTTTGCAAATCTAACAAGTCCAGGCATTTGGGGACCAAGCCTCATTCATGTTTAAACTTCAAGAACATTGCAAACTGCTTGGCTACTTAGTGATCCATCGGTACTTAATGAATTTAGATTCCTTTAGTTTGAAATATGAAGACTTCTTAGTGCCCCGTAGTACCCAACCAGTGATGCATGATGCTCGAAAGGAAAGAAAAAAAAGAAAAGGAAAAGTAATGGAGAGAATATAAAATTCCATTCCTCTTTGATTATTTTTCCCCAGATGTAGCATACACTGTAAGACCTCACAGTTATCAGTTATTAGACATTACTCACAGCCTGAAACTACTTAGAGGAGACATACTGAAAATTCGTCAATCTGCTTTCTGCCTATGATCTCTACTTTTGGCCTTGATAATTCAGATGAAACACTGAAGATTTTTTGTTTTTCAATAAAGGTATTTCTAAAAGTTGATGTTGATCATGTTTAGACAATTCCAAATACTTAATATAGATAAGCGTTCTCTTCATAGTAAACTCCAAGCCTATTCCCAAATGTACAATAAGCTATCCGGTAGAATTGAACCACATTTGTGATTCTAATCTGATTAGGAATTGGGCTCTAGACAACTCCTCCAGCCTCCTCTGGGGCTGGCTCTCCCTTCCCCTACCAAATCCTCATTATTTTTTAATATCCTCCACATTACCATTGCTGAGATATCATCGAAGGAACACATTGTGCTGAAACTCAAGCAACAGAGAAAGACTTTTCCCTCGTCTGGTCCCCACAAGCATGTCTGTCAGAAAGAAGGTGGAAAAGTGCCTACTGATGAAAGACATCATGTTGGTGCCAAGAACTGTGGAAAAAAAATCACCCCTTACTATTTTGTTGCTATGAACATTCTCTCCTAGTAGTGCTGCCAGGGCTAGGACCAAAAAAAGAAAGAAAGAAAGAAATCAGGTTATCTGCTATACGACTTGAGTAAGTCAGTCTTTCCCAGGGACTGTTTTAAATTCTACATCCCTATGCTGGGGAAAGCAAGAGAATTCTAGTGCTGAAATAGAAGCACAAAAAAGCTTTGCCACTTCAGTAAAGTACAATGTGAGACGAGGGGAGAGAAGGGAAATGGGGCTTGAGAGCACAAAACACCACGAAGAGATGGGACTC